AAAAAAAAGTGAAAGAACTGTCAACATTGAACTGCTTTGGATTTTACAAAATAAAAAGAAAGATACAGTATAATGACTGTAGATAAGTAGTATTTCAGAAGTAATTTTGCCAGTAACTAAAGGAAAGTCATCTAAGGGCTACAAACCCACAGACACTGGAGAAACACCCTGCTTAGGGAAATTTTTAAAAATACATGTGGGTCTTCCTTCCATTTTCTCTTTTCTCCTTGACAAAACCATAGATCAAAGACAGTACCTCTCTTCTGGAGTGCATAAGCCCTAAGTTCCTTTAGATTTGGACTCGAAAGTCCTGTTCTGAATCCTACAGTTGAACTTGGAAAATAAGGCCAGTTATCTTGGCCTTCTTTTACTCCCTCCTTAGGAAGTTCACCAGTGTTCAGGGAATTTTACCTTGAACAAATAAACAAGAAGCCAGAAATCTACACAATAAATACAAGGTCAAATGGGATGTGGAAAGAACAGTATGAAGGCATATCCTGACAGGAGTTAAAGGTGCTGCTGTTGTAGGCTAGGAAGAATCTGGTACCCTGTGTCCTAAATGATGTTGTTGGAAATTATCACCACGGAAGCAATACATCCAAGCATCTATCACACTGTATTTCAATGAGGCAACCAAACATAAATCATTTTAATTAATTGTGCAAGGAAGGCATATTAAAATTTAAATTACTTCTGTTTTATTGTGCATTCCCCCCCAAAATCGGGCCTCTCTGAAAGTAATTCAATAAGGGTACCAGGAGCCCTCCTCAACAATAAAAATCAAGTGCAATATAGAAGCATTATTACTATGTAAAAGGAACAGCACAGCTGCTGCTGGCAAAGAAAATTATTCTATAGAGCTCTGGTTGGAAACATCCCCATGAATTTTGTCTTATAAGCAAACTGGGTTTTTAAAAAGGCAACACTTAAGTTGCTTTCTAATTTAAGAATCACAACATCTTTCTGTAACATCCTAAATACACTAAAGACACAATGAACTTCACTGTGCTTCCTTGAGGGTGGAGAACTTTGGCTGAGGACACTAGAGCAACATGGGAGTCATCTTTCCCTGCATAATCAACGATATTTGTAGCTCTGTACCACTCTCGTTGACAGCCAACCAGAAAGCCTCTGTAGGCCACCTCATGAGCCTTACATCTGTAATTCTGTGGAGTGTCTAGCTATCCCAAATGATGTGATTATGTGGGTGTCATTTCTGCTGTCCCGTTTAGTCGAACAAAACTGCCATAAATAGTGTAGCCTCTAAGCTAAACAGTAATGAAAATATCTATATTTTCTGGTAGCTTATTCATAACTCCATACATAGGAAGCTTTGCTTTAATCCCTTGTGTCTTCCTTCTTTTAGTCAAAAGCAAAAGGGAAAGAGGTGTCCATGTCCTTGTTAAAGAAAAACAGTTGCTGTGAAGAGAAAGGAGGAGGAGTGGATGTGAGTTGGGGCAGAAGGGCAGTGAGGGGGAGGGACTGAGAAGAGCAGAGGGGGGAAACTATGATTGAGCTGGAAAATAATTAGTTAATAAAGAAGAACTCTGATTCTATGGGAGTAAAAAATGTGTACTTTCTACTGTGTATGCATTTATAAGTAACAAGTTTTCAGTTAAAAGAACCAGGCACCCTGCTTAATCAAATTCCATTGAGCACACTATGTTTCCACAGCCAACAGAACTTTTGTTACAATGAGCAGCAGAGTGCTCTATTTGAAAGCTGATTGTGGGTGGACAAAGACGCCACATCTGTCAATGTTTGGGATGACATAGTTGAGGAAGATGTCCGGGGAAGAAGTATTTACAGGGCAACATTCACGTTGTTATTTGTCTATGCGTTTATACCACTGGGAAGATTTACAATAAGTAACAGTGCCTGTTTTCAGAAACTTTCTGGGCTATACTAGAAGATAGATTTTAAATAAATAATCATGCTAAATGCTTACTTAATACACTCATACTCACACATCACCAAAAAAAATGTACTATTTTGCACTGTGCGTTTTTACTAGGATCAGTATAAAATAGTTAAGAAGTAAAGCTCCTAGCTTTCATTTGTTCCTTGAGTCCTGGGCTAAGACTGATACAGCTAACCAGATACATGCTACATTCACAGATACAGTATCTAGCTAAATATCTGGTGGCCTCTTGCTCACTGTAGGACAAATTGCTAATCTCTAGCCTTCAGAAGGGTCTACAGCTCCACAGCTGCTTTTGCATGAAGCCAGGCGGGACAATTCTTGCAAGTAATATCAACCTGAGAAATCTGTCCACAGACCTGTGATGTCAAATGATGCTGGTAATAGACATGCCTAGGACGTTTCTAAGAATTATCATCTGATCCTGCTTTAATCTCACTCTGAGACAGTAAATTGGTCCCATTCAATACATGAAGTACTACACAATGCTCTTGACAGTTATCCATTAATGGAAATTTGTATCTTAAAACAATGGAAATTTGTTCTAAGTTACTTCCAGAAGTCAGGAGCCTGAATTAAGTCTCATGGAGGTTAAAGTTAGCCGTTAGCTAGTTGCTTCCTTCCGCAGCCTGTGGTGGGTACTGCTCCTTGCCTTCCCAGCCTCTGATCACACCAGCATTCCTGTCTTGAGGCCTGCACCATTCCAGTGTGTCTCCATTGCATTGCCTTCTCCCTTTCTGTGGTCCAATTTCCCTCATAAGAATTATGGTTATTTGTGGGTCCCATCTGAATTATTCTAGACGATCTCCCTATCACAAGAGTCTAAATCATTCATTCTTCAAAGACCCTTGACTCTCTCCAGTGCTTTGTCCCTAGCACAAGAGTCTAAATCATTCATTCTTCAAAGACCCTTGACTCTCTCCAGTTACTTCCCATTCTCAGGTGAATGCAAACTTTCTAGAAGACATAGAAGACCCTTCTGCATGAGGGTCTGGTCAAAACCCAAACTGTCTTCCACACTGGGTCTCAGCCCAGCACTTTTCAAAGCACACCACAAAATACACACACACACACACACACACACACACACACACACACACACACACACACACACTGAAATGTCCTTCATCAACTGCACATTTTCTTTATTATTGAAAACACATTTGAGATCATAGGCTCAGTCAGGTTCCTCTGAAAAATGTTCTTCCTATATTGCTATTAGGTACTTAGAGATCTTTATTTACACTTCTAGCCCACATTTCTTTGTTTCCATATTAAAATATGAAATTTTATATCATACTGTAGGTATGTCTGATTCACCAGTTCAGTGTACAGTAGCTGCCACCTTCTACATGATCAACACTTATCTGCCAAAGGTGAATGAAGAATTTTGTCTGTGCCTTACCCTGGTTTTTCAGCCTCCCTTAGGACACATTTGCTACAGTTCACCTAGATGTGACTATAAGTTCACCTTCAGGACTTGCAGCTTCTCATTCTGTGCTATAAGAAGAAAGTAGCTGCCTCTGCTAAACAAACTTCAGAACTAATGAGCGATCAAGCTATTTTTGAAGCTTGGGACTCTTTCTGAAATCCCACAATAACTTGATGGACTTCTCAATGCCTTGCATAATAGTTTCATGGTTCATTATCGGGGAAGCCTCGGGTGAGGATGGACCTGTTCTCACCAGCTGATGGTGGGACCTCCTCTATAGTATCCAAGATGATATTCTAAACCTACATTTCACAATATATAGCAACTACCTAAAAGTGGTCCATTTCAGTTGGTTTTTTTTTTTTTTAATGTATCTTTAAGGGAACAAGCACGCTCTTTGACACATTTGCACACCGTGACCAACAGTAAATGAAATTATAAAACTAATGAAGGGAGCTTTCGGAGGAAACTCGCCACTGTAAAATTTAAATTAAAAATGCAAGGAGCACAAATCACATTAGAGCACCTTTTTGCTTTTTAATTTGAGACTCAAAAATGCCATCCACCCCCAAAATAGCCATATCTAAGATAATCAAGATTCTACCAGGAAATTATTTGAGCATAAACTTCGGTGGCAGGAACTTGATGAGTTCAGCAAAGGGACAGGAAGAGCTTCATCTCTCCTGTTGTCAGAGTTAATGCTGTGCTTCCTCTGGAGCCAACTAACTACCCTGGGATGAAGGACTAGAAGTCTCCCTCATGACAGCAGACTGTGGTACAGCTAATAAGAAATGTAGATGGAACACAAAGCATGGCCTGATACCTTGGCAAGTTGAAATCAGGTAACAAAGGTGAAGGGGGTAGGGTGGGGAGGTAGTCTACTATGTCATGACACTCCCATGAGATGAAGAAAGTGTGCTTACATGAATAACACTCTCAAAACAAGTGACAGGAACACACTGAATGATTTCCCGGGATAATCTTTTCTATACACTCCAGATAAAAGGGGATTAAGTGAAATATGCTAATGTATATAAGTTATTATGCACTGTCTGTGACTCGATTCTCTGATACTGTGAATAAAGTACTTAACAAGGTGAAGGGATTTTGGAGATGTGATGATTAACAACCCTGAGATGGAAGACGATCCTGTAGTATCCAAATGGGTCCAACTGGGATATATAGGTCTTTAACACTGGGCAGCCCTCCCCACTTGGATTCAGCCAGAGAGATATGTAAGTACAGATGAATGGTCAAGGATATACGGCAGAGTGGGACTGGCTCTGAGGATGGATAAAAGAGGTCACACAGCAAGAAATGAGGGTGGCTTCTTTAAACTGAAAGTGATGGACTCTGCCCTGAGTTTCAGAAAGGTATGCATCCCCTTGCCCAGGCATAGGTCCACACTCCAGACCTTACTTTGTATCTTACTGCTTTGAAACATAAGGAAGGCCAGGGGTGGTGGCACACTCCTTTAGTCCCAGAATTTGGGAGACAGAAGCAGGCGGATCTCTGTGAGTTCGAGGCCAGTCTGGTCTACAAAGCTACACAGAGAAACCTAGTCTTGGGGAATAAAACACACACACACACACACACACACACACACACACACACACAAGGAAGAGCACAGTTGAAAGTTCTCCTTACCACTTTACAGCAAAGGGGCCAAAACCACCACATCAAAGCGATGCCCAAGAGCAGCAACAACACCAAAATAGCTATGATTGCTGCGATCCCGTTAGACTGTAGAGGGAAAAATAAACAGAGTAAAGTTTAAGGTCAAATCCCACATGGTATTTATTCTTTTAAGGAAGGGGGGAGGAATGAGCACAAAGGCAAAACTGTTTCAGAACAAAATTATGTTACATTCTTTTAAATTGTATTAATTCCTTTTGATTTCACTTAATGTACACCAGGTTGTGTTAAGATGGTCAATAATACAGCGTCTTCCAACATGCTACAGACTGATTTAAATGTGTCTTAAAAGACTGTGAGAACCACAATTTTTTGAGGATTAAACAGATGGTCCCTTAGGGACTTTTGTGCTTAAGCAAAAATTATGTTGGTTAAAGCTCAGTGTCTTCCAGGCAGAACTTCCCCAGATTTTATGATGATGCAGCAGCAATTACACACTTGGAGTGTGAAGAAGATACAAACCACTGGTGTGGATAAGGAAAACACAATGGATGTTTCTTTGTATGCCTCAATGGAAATGCAGCCTAATGAGTCCTTCACTTCTGGTCATGGTTCACCTGTGACTCCGGCAAGACCTTCACTGTGTAACTGGCAGGCTCCTCCACCCCCAAGGGACCTGCTCTGAGAGCTGCCTATAACCTTCACTGCAGAAATCACTGATCCACCCTTTTGGCCTCTCATATAATCTAAGGCTAAGTTCTTCCAGTAGCAACCCTGCCTAGGATTCCATAGCTGCAAAATGGATTATGCAACACATTTAGATAGAATTTCTCTAGATTTTAATTGAAGCATCTTTACAATGGAATTAACCATGAGCTTTGGATAATTTAATTCCATTTTTCTGTCATGAATGTATGTCTCCCAGGAAACCAAAGGCCAATTCCCATCAGTTTACTACTTGTTACTCCATGCTTAATGTTTACAAACTACGTACCAAGGAAATGAACTCCAGAGCAATTAAGGCTCCACTATGACACAGCTATCAAAAAGGGCATAGACACTGACTTTTTCACTGAGTTTAGAGGAGACTTGTGTTTCTGCCAAAGCCCAGCTTCTTTGGGATTCCCAGGGAAACTGTTTCAGTTGGATGTAGTTTGCAGGTTTTGTTTGTTTTAGAAGAGAAGGGACTCAGAGAAGAAAAACAAAGAGAAAGAAATACCTTCTGGTAAATTTTAGACAAATGTGTAAGTATTGTCTTCTTCAAGCTAGCAGAAGACAATCAGTGTATGAGTCAGGGAAACACGGGAAGCTCATGACCTTTTCTCACAAGCCATGCACACAAAAGGAATCATGTCACTCTCAGGTGCAGTTACAATAAGTACAAAAGTAGGCAGACAGGAGCATACAGGCAAAGCATGTCCTAGAATGACAAGAGAAATTACAGCATACACCAAGAGAATCACATGCATTCTTGGCCTCACCTTCAACTGCGGGGTCTTGTGGAAATAATCCCCACCCCCACCTAGACCCAGCAACTCACAGAAATAGCAAGCAACTCACAAAGAGGTCTGCAAATATCCGATTCACCCCTTTCTTAGCATTTACACCCTGATTTCACAAAGCAGGAAGTTCGACTAGAGGCCATGAATCTGCTAAAACTGAGTGGCCAGTTTATTCTTTCTATGCATGTGCAATGAGCAAGAAACTCATAAACCCGTGCAGATTATTGGAATATTAAGTAGATGGGCACTTTAAAGTCTTAAATTTTTCCCTCAAAATTAATTGCCTCTATTAGTAAAGGTGACAAAAAACAAAGCTTCCCCACAATGGAAATAAACATTTAGTATGGTGACACTGGTATCACTACTGATTCCAAAGACTATCTCCAAAACTTTAAACTAGAATACATGTCTCAGCCACGCATGATGGAAATAGGATCGGGGAATGCAATGACTTAAGGCTATCCGACCTTGCTCTGCATGTCTGTCCATCCTCATCCTAGACACTAGCTCAGTTCATTGTATAGGAGTCCCAGCTTTCCCATTTCCTTTGTTTTTGTAGTCGGAGATTATCATCAGAGCATAGAACAGTCAGAGAGGAAAAGGAAATAATTTCATTGTTTGCTTATTTCATGAACAGATTAAGAAGAAGCCACACATGGAAGCCACATTCCTAAGAATGGGCAACACAGGGTAGACCTAGAAGCCAGATGAGGAAGAATATGACACCAAGTCTAATTACTCCTATATTTTCGTCATGATCACAAACCAATAGTTTCTCACTTTTACTCAGAAATTCTCTCTCTTTAAACAGACCTCCGGATGAAAAATCCTCATAAATATTCAATGCATAAATGCCATTTTTTGTCTTGAACTAAATGAATTCAATATATATGACCTAAATCTAAAAATGTTTTTTTTCCATTCATCTAAACCATACTTGAAGAGCCACTACTATATACTGGACTGTTAAATGGGTGCCAGGGCCACATATCAGACACATCCCCATTTAGCCCATGGGTAACACAGATGGAGCTGGAACCAATCATGACACATGTGAGAACTGAGGAAGAAAAGTCAACAGAAGCATGGGAAATCTGGCAGGTAATCCTCCAGGAAAGGTAAAAGGCGGGGAGGGCAGTATGTAGGCATATCGAAAGGCCTTTAAAAAAGAGAGAAGCCACCATGGTTGGAAAGTAGAAAGATAATGGGTGACACACAAAGACGCTCAAGAAGCCAAAGTTCAGGTTCTCTGACAAAAATTATGTGGGATTTGCATTGCTGAAGAATCCTAAAATCACCCTGCAAAGCACTAACTCTTGTATAGCCAGGGGATTCCATAACTCTGCCAGTGAGGGACCATTGCCACTCAAACACACCTATCGCTCAACAGGGAACTCCTCATACTCCACTATAACTAGTCATCCTTCTGGGTCCTCAAGGATAAAGGGGGTGGGGAGGAAGTATTCTAAATATTCTAGATCTCTCTCTTAGTCTCAGGAATTACAATTAAGCTACTTAGATTAAGAGCTGTAACCTAAAAATATATTGAAATTAAACCTCTTCTTAATCATCTCCACTGTCACCGCAAAGGGACTGCTTTCTTTCCGTGCTTCTTAGATGGCAGAAATGCTAACAGAATTGGTGTCGGTATTTTTATTTTTGTCCATTTCTGCACAGTGGCCAGGGAAAGCCTGTTAAGCATTAAGTGTGTAGCACTTCTTCCTCTAACTGGAAAAAAATCCCAAGTCCTTACAGTGGCTCACACAGCATCAAATGTCCTGCGCCCTGTCCACCACTGTTTCTTCTGGACCAAGACCCCAATTTTCCAGGCATGTCTTCACCCAGGCATCATTCACTGACTTCTTTAGGAACTGCCCACACTGTCTGCACAGGACCTTCTTACAACACGTGCTCTTGAGGACTCATCTTTCAAGCCTTGGCTCAAATCTCACCTTCTCAACAAGAGTTGTGGACCCCTATTTAAGGTTTAGTATTTCCATCTCCAACTGTCCCCACATCTGACACACCTCATGTTCTTTTTTAACATTTTATCCTTCAACAACTGCCAGTAACATAACTCTTCTGAGAACTCAACAGGCTCAGATAAAATGGCCTTATATATTTAATATCTGTGAGCACCGGGTGAGTCATTCCACCTTAGTGTCCCTGCACATGGAGCTAGTTCTTGGCTATAGGGCAGAAATGAAGACCTGTTTTCCTGCCTGCTGGGAAGAAAGAGTCTTCTGTGGGAGGGCGAGGGGAGGAAGGAGAAAAAGGATGCAGGCAGTGTCTTTTCAGTGTGCTAAGCGCTAAGCAACTAACTACTCAGCACAAATATTTGTAACCTCAATCAACCACATCCTGAGAAACCAGAAAACCAAAAATTACAACATCCACAAAGCCTATCAGTTGTGAAAAAAAAATGCTATTTACGAAACAGAAAGAAATGGTAATTAAAATTATCCAGAGAGTCCAAAAGACTCAAAAGGCCATGTGGAGGCTTCATTTTTCCCTGCAACATTGTCTTACAGTGAGAACCAGGGTATTTCTGCAGAGATGATATTTTATGTCTCCCGTATTAATTGATAAAAATACATTAAAAAACACAATATAAGAAAATGTTAAGTTGCTATTCTTGTATTTTAGAGGAAAAGAGGATTTTTTGTTTTCCCTTTATTTGCCTGTGTGTGTGTGTGTGTGTGTGTGTGTGTGTGTGTGTGTGTGTGTGTGTGTGTAAAATAGGTGTGTGTGCATATAAATAATAGCCATGTAGAAAATCTATTTTAGAGCATCCTGTTTTCATGTTCAACAATCTAACATCAAAACTTTATGTCAATACACAAAATTAACTATAGTGAAAAAGAAACTGTCTCTATGGAGTTTATGGTTTTTTTGGGGGCTCTGCAAAGTCCACCAATGGAGTTATAGTTTTAAAGCACTGTATTTTAGATGATGCAAAAAAATAACTCAACGGAAATATAGTTTCAAACTTAGCTATTACCACACTCTCAGAATGAGATTTCTTAGTTACATTAGAAAGCATAGACAGCATCTATGTGGACAAAGTGATGACATCACCTTGCACTAATAGGTGCACTAATGATTTCAAAATCTGATCAACATCCTAGATATTAAATTCTAATCTTCATAATAAAAAACATTTCCATATTTAATCTCCTAAGAAAGAATGCTTTGTTTCTATTCTCTTACTTTATGTTGATCTAAAATATGACTGTGGGATTTTATAAATATTAAAATTTAATGTATAGTACTTATAAATCCTTTAAAAGAGATAAAAACAGAAATAAAATGAAATAAATTCTATACAAATGTTTCCTTGCCGCATTGTTGCGCTTAATCTGTGGCTTCCTTGTTGTAATAAATAGTACAGAGACTCCCTAGGTTATTATCTCATGATAACACTATTTCTGAAGGTAATTAACTTTCTACTCACACATTCTGTAGCTGTGACTGTTAAAGATCTTGAGACAGCAGACTTCCCATCATTAAAGCTGATTGAAACTTCAAGAGTTCTACAAAAAGAGTAAAGAAGCAACAATTAAAAGTCAACTTAATCTTTACCACAGGTTTCTTTTTTTTGTTTTTTGTTTGTTTGTTTGTTTGTTTGATTGTTTGATTGGTTTTTTGAGACAGGTTTTCCTCTGTATTGTTTTAGAGGTTGTCCTGGAACTCACTCTGTAGACCAGGCTGGCCTCAAACTCACAGAGATCCACCTGCCTCTGCCTCTCGAGTGCTGGGATTAAAGGCTTGAGCCACCAACACCCAGCTTGCCACAGCTTTTTAAAGCAATCAGAGCTTTCACAGTCTTACTGCTGGCATCCAGGAAACTAAATGCTAATTAATTGCTTTGGCACAAATATTGAATTTAGGCTTCTACCTGATTTCTAACCCTTTCCGTCATCCACCAAGGCAAGAGGAAATAAAATGAAAGTCCTTATGGTACACCTTCCCTCAACATGACAACTTGCTTCCGATCCACACAGGCACAGAGACAGAGAGAAAGCAACTGTTGCTGAAGTCAAGATCTTATCCATAACTCTTAATTACTCCTGTTAAAGTCTTTCTTCTAACATGCCCACTTCAAAAAACCCTTCCTTAAGAAGAAAACAGTTTAGTTAAAACCAGAAAAGAAGGGGACATTTGAATTTAATTAAGTTTTGCACTATTTCAAAAGAGAATGCCAAGTGGCCTATTTTTTTTTAAGTTAGACCAAATTCCTTATTCTGCAAAACTTGGTGTTTGTTTTCTTTTGTTTTCATGACTAAGCGTAACAGATTCCAAAAGAATCTTTCCTAATTCTCAATTCTCCTACTTTCATGTGTGCAGTCATATGATAGGGCGGACATGGTTCTTCTATTTGGAGAAAAGGTGATTTTTATTTATACCAATATATTCTTGTCAGGGTAATCTCACTCACTCCACTTTAATAGGTCAGTAGAAACCAGCTGGAGTTGTTTATAATTCAGCATTAGAGTCCAGCAGAAGCATTCACAATTTTAGCACTTAGTGAAGTGAAATAAGAACACAAGATGAAGTTTGAAAATTAAGGTCACACCTTCCTGTAGAAGAAACACGTGCTGAGAGCTTAGTTATAAAAAATAATTATTTTTCCTCAAAAAACATTCTAGTATAATATGACCAGTGTTGAGTAAAAGTGAAACAAGCCATGCACAGAATGAAAATCTATCTACCCAAAGCTTCTTTTTACACATGGTCTTCATTGAAACAATAAAATGCAAATATTGGTAGCAACATCCAGGCAGTATAATCAATAACAATACTAATAAACTGAGTTCTTCCCATTAGCCAGAAACATTAATACATCTCATTCAATTCTCACAGTAATCCACTGGCATTGTTTCCATTCTGCAAGTCAAGAAACTGAATTTTCAGAAGGCACCTCACCAAAAGATTAGACCTCTCTGACTTTGTAACCCAGGAAACTTCACTTCTCTAGCATACCATCCCCCTAGTCCTCCACACATATTTTAGGGACTTTTATTTAAATTTATCTCATATACATTACCCAAGGATTACTTATCCAGATTTTTCTATAATCATATTTTTCAGGGTTAACTCCAGCACCATTTCTCTAAAACAAGATATTTATTCTTGAGTATAGATTTATGAATACGTATAATATTTGGAAAAGTCTTCTAGAAGTCTTCCAAACATGAAGAACACAGCTGCTTCTGCTTTTGAATTCTATTGTTCCTTTAGAGAGAGTCCTTAAATTCCTGGTATGGTATGGCACTGTCACTAATCCAATGACTGCCTCAAGCACAAAGGTAGTTAAAGGCCATCCTCCAGCCTAAAGCCAGGGAGCTTTGTTTGTCAAAAGACTGCAATCTACATAGTAAATGTTTTCTGTCACATTTTCAGTCCTTTCTCTTAATTCCAATACACTGCTCATTCCTATCCCTATATAAATCCTACTCCTGGTTAGAATGCCTCTAACAATGGAATCCAGATTCTTGGTTATGAGATTTAATTATGGACTGAAACATAATAAATAAATATTGTGTACTTAATTCCAGACACAAATAGGAGGCAATAAGACAGTTCATCTTTATTTGCCCAAATGTAAACACAACTTGCAAAAGCAGGCATATTTATGACCTTCATTGGGCAATCTAGAATCCTGAGCTTGGGCTTATGTCAACCTAGTATTAATATTCCATTCCCAGCCTGTAAAGGTATGCAAATTATACATATGCCAGAGTTGCTCCAGGAAGGGAACTTCACAAAATACATAGACATTTTTCACGTGTGTGAAACTCAGGACCTCTGTGAAGATTTGTTATAGCCAGTGAATTATTAGAAGGACTTTCAGACCTCGTGCCAGAGAAACTTCCAGGAACCCATAAGGATGACCCCAGCTAAGACCCCTAGCAATAGTGGAGAGGGTGCCTGAACTGGCCTTCCGTAATCAAACTGGTGACTAACCTAATTGTCATAAGAGAGCCATCATGCAATAACTGATGGAAGCAGATACAAAGATCCACAGCCAAGCACTGGGCTGAGCTCCAGGAGTCCAGATAAAGAGAGGGATGTGAGATTCTATGATTAAGGGGGTCAAGATCATGACAGGGAATGCCTAATGCTAACATAAATATTGTCTGGTAACTTAGCCAGGTGTTGGTGGCGCACACCTTTAATCCTAGCACTTGGGAGGCAGAGACAGGCGGATCTCTGTGAGTTCGAGGCCAGCCTGGGCTCCAGAGCGACTGTCAGGATAGGTTCCAAAGCTACACAGAGAAACCCTGTCTTGAAAAACCAAAATAATAATAATAATAATAATAATAATAATGAAAGAAAGGAAGGAAGCAAGAAAGAAAAAAAGAAAAAATTAAAGATTCCAGAAAATGGAAAGATCTCCCATGCTCTTGGATGGGTAGGATGAACATAGTAAAAATGGCAATCTTGCCAAAAGCATGCAATCCCCATCAAAATCCCAACACAATTCTTTACAGGCATTGAAAGAACAGTATTCGACTTCTTATGGAAAAACAAAAAACCCAGGATAGCCAAAACAACCCTGTA